GACCAGCTTCAAGAAAAACCGAGCTACAGAAAAATTATCTCTCTGCCTTGAGCGCGTGGCAAAACACAAGGGTGTTTTGGAGATTCGCGCATAAATTTCATCGCGAGAAAAAACTTTCCAAACGCTGATTGGCTCAGTGATCTGAGAACCCAGTTGAAAGCGTTTGTGGGTGGAGTTTGTCTGCGAAGTAACAGATTTTTCTTAGCGCTGTTTTCTCAAATAAATTTTTTCACTCGAAGCAGACACTTTAAAGAGTTACAACTCAAAGGGAATTTCTTCGATTGACCTCAAATTTTGACAGTAGCTAGATTAACATATAGTAAACAAAAACATGTCTGCGAATTGTTTGCTTCGAAATATTTTTTCTCCGAGAGCGATTTTTGTACGATCACTTCACATTTTTTAAATCCTATTTTAAAAAATGTTCTGTAACTTTTTACTGCAATTGAATATGGCAAAATGCAGACACTCTTTTTTAGCACTTTTTGTCCTTAAACCGGGGAAAAAACTAAATTGGCAAAAAACAAACTTCACTTTGACTTGCAGCTTCCAAAAGGTGATTAGGGCGCTCACATTTAGTGGTCCTGAAAAAAATCAGCAATTCATTTCATTTCAATATTCCTGGTATAGTTTGATAGCCAGCTCTATAAGCTTTAATTTGATATAAGTGTTAAGGTATCTACCGCTTAAACCGGACGCGCTACATCGCTTGGGCATGAGACACCCCTGAAGGTATACGGCAACCTTAAATGGGCACAGTGACCCCCACGTTTCATTTCATAATTTCAATGAGAACGATATCCTCAATAACTGAGAAAAAAAATAGTAGAAATCTATGGCTACTTTTTTGGCAAATGAAATAAATACTACAGAGGGAGACATAACTGGCCCAACAACACATGTCCAAATTATGTTTCCCTTAAAGGATAAAAAAATGCAGGGTATTTGAAGACATTTTTTCTGGGACATTGCCAAAAGTCACCTAAATAATTATACGTAGCATTGTGGCGTGAACAACAGCATACCAAGTTTCAATGGAAATCTATGGCGGGTTCTTTTACCAGGGAATCACCTTAACCAAGAAAAGCAAGTTACAGGCATGGTGTTTCACCTGTTAGAGATTAAGTTTACCGTTGGCGGCATCTTGTTTTTGGATTGTTTTTTTTTTTCAACCCATCAGTGGTGAAACCAAACTCAGTCATGCATTACTTGGCTCACAATAATGCCCACATGTTTGTTGAGATAGACTAGAGTAAGAACAAGAGAGACACAAGTTATATACTTGTCAACGTTAATATATTAATATCATTTTATTAATAAATATCTTTAGGAGAGCAGGGATGGTGCAGTGGTGAGAGTGCTTCCCTCCCACCAATGTGGCCCTGGTTCAATCCTGGCCCCAGTGCCATATATGGGTTCAGTTTATTTGGGGTTCTCACCTTGCTCCGAGGGTTTTTTCCAGTTACTCGGGTTTTCTTACCTCCACAAAAACCAACATCTCCAAGATAAAGGACCTGCAAGATAAAGGACTTGCATGTAAACCACCTAAGGTTGCTATGGCTTCCTCTCTAAATATTGTAAATTTAATTTAATTTTTTTAAACAACGGGCATCAGATATTTATCCTAGGAATACTAGGATTTTTGAACACTACCAAACCATAACCAAAGACATCCCAAAACATCTGAAGACATCCCAGAGATGTCCTCAAAGACATCCTAGTCCAAGAATGTGTTTTGCAAAACATAAACTTGAAGTATTTGTTAATTACATGGACCATTCTTTTCTTCCATTGGTTCAAGTTTACATGTCTTTTCAAAGTGAGTCATAAGACTGTGATACATGCCACTTAGAATTTTTCCACTCACATGAGAAGTTGGTCCACAGGCATGAGCTGGCACGAGATTGTCATTATTGTGACCTACAGCTGTGAGTCTTAGGTGCCTAAAGCGTGAAAGTTTGCCTGTATAAAGTTAGCTCTCATTTACTCACCTGGACAAGTCTTGATTCTGTTTTTGGTGCAGTTCTCAAAGTTTTTTCATTCCCAGATAATTTGTAAAGTACTAACAAAACTTAAGTTCCCAAACTAGGAAAAAACCTCTATGTTATACAGGCATTCTTTTCTGTGGACCAGTGTGGTTATGATTTTCATTTTAATGTGTAGGTAAAATTATCTTTGGAAGAAGCCATGTGCGAGATGTAGCACTGCGAAGGAAGGAACCTATCAGTGAATATTGCAAGGTTTGCAAAGTGATACATGTTCATAACTTCTTCATGCAGTAGTTTTTGTTTTCAAGATTGCTGCTAGGAAGCTGAGAGCAATGGGAGGCCATCTTGGAATTCCTGGACAAAAAAGCATAGTCGTGTTCTATCCAGTGAATGTTCCTGAGTCCTTTAGTTTCAAATGGAATTATCTGATGCTTTCACTAACTATTTTATACATGTGTTGTTCACTTCCAGGAACTCATCTCACTACCTCCCAAGATATCAACTTGTAGCATTGTTGTCAAATTTTTTGAGCCACAGTCAGAGGACATAGACTTACCTCCTAAGGAGTAAGTTGGTCTTACATTATACTCAGCATGCAACTGTAGGAGAACAGTGTCTTTTAGTGTTGGTTTTGTGGCTGTGCATGTACATCATCATCAAGATCATCACCTTCATATTGGAAGAACTCACAGTTTTTTTGTAAACTGGCTTAAGTGTCTCTGACGGACAGACGGACTGATTGATTGATTGATTTCTAGGGCAGATCAAGGGAGTTCAGGGCGTGGCCAAACCCCATAACTTAAAAAAAAGTAAAGGTAGGGAAAGTCTGCATACGAGCCAAGTGGCCCATCAGGAAGTGACTAGGAATATCTCTACCCCCTCCCTCCCCCCCTTCCTCCTGAATGGGATGCTAGTCCATCACAGTTTTGTTTTGCCGGTACCCATTTATACACTTGGGTGGAGAGAGGCTCTGCGAGAGTAAAGTGTCTTGCCAAGGACACAACACAATGTCTCGGCCGAGGCTCGAACCCAGACTGCTCAATCTGGAGACGATCACACTAACCATGATGTACTAATGTTGATGTACTAACCATGAGCCCACCCATTTCCAAGCTTTTAATATAGGTGTTCCTGAAGAAGTATTAGGTTATGATGAAGTTGATAAACGAAGTAAATAATTTGGACAAAAAATTTTTTGAGACTAATGTGATGAGAGCTGTCAAAGAAGTCAGGTTCTGTATGAAACTGTGCACTGTAGAATTGTAGTGTACTTAAAAGTAGATTCTGTACTTATGCTCACAAAGAGGTAAATATTAAATCATTAGAGGTATATAACCACCAAATGTTTTGTCTTCCTTATGTAGGAAAGACAAGAAAAAGAAGGGAAAGGATTCAGGTAGGTCACAGGTTTTTTTCTTGTATATACAATGTAAACCCTACACAACACTCAGCTGATGACCGGACAACATCAGGTACATCAGTGAAATATACATGTCAGCAGTCACATTTTGTTTACATGTTAACTGAGTGACATTTTAAATGTGTTTTGTAATGTTTGCTCAACATGTTAATTGATTTAAAGCGCCTATATAAGACTTTGTGTCAATTTTTTTAACTAAAAAGTGTACATTCGTATGGAAGGAAATCATAGTTATGAAAAAAAAACTAGTTATTGCTCATGAAAGAATTATACAAGTGACTAAAGCTTTTTCATATTTTCTAATAGTTGACCATATATCCGGGCCTGTGTCGTTGGAGCAGTATGTGGCCATTGCAGACTACAAAAAACAAAACAGAAATGAAGTAAATATGGTGGCAGGAGATATAGTGGAAGTTATCGACAAGAATGAAAATGGTACAACTAAACAAAATAGAACGTTCTTTAAGGGTGTGACTGTGTGAAGTACATGTTTACCGATAAAGAAGTGACAAGTTGAAGTGCCTTGCCTTTCAGGAAACACTTTTGTTTTTCACACTACTACGGACGTCCTACTCAACTGTCCACTGACAATCTTGACATCAATGATTCCTCGTGCTTTTTTGTTTGCTTACTTGCTTGTTTGTTCATTTCATTTCCCTGATTTTGTTGTTATATTATTTTAGGCTGGTGGTTTGTTAATGTGGATGAAGAGCAGGGCTGGGTTCCAGCAGCTTATCTGGAGAGTGAGGATGGCAATACGGATGAGTTTGAAAATACTCCTGTTTCATCAGGAGGTGAGGCATGCATATAATAACCCATGAAATTCTTCTCTTCAGATGCTTCAATCTTGGTTAGTTCAGTTGAATCTCTTACGGTTCTAATTTAATACATACTGTGTGAAGTGATTTCTTGCTAATTTAAATTTCTGTCTTCGTAAATTTGTTAGAGAGGTTGATCACAACAACAAATTACAAAGCAGAGCTAGACGACGAAATTTCATTCGAAGTCGGTGTGCTAGTGACCGTGTTAGAGAAGAACTTTGATGGTTGGTGGCTTATTCGGTGAGTTCTATGACCCATACTGGTAACGTCTCCTGACAATAGTAAAGCTAACGTGAATTCATTGCTGTCTGAGATTGTTTTCCAAGCCAAGCCTGTTTACCACACCTTTTTTGAGTCACTGTGTGTTTTAAACACCAGGTATTGTTTGGTGGTATATATTCTTGCTCCAAAGCCCCTTAACCTGTTAATAATAACCTGCGGTCCGCAGTATCATACAGCATAGTGACCAGTGCATGACTATAAGCGTGGTCGAGCGAAACCCTCGTAGCAATCGTAAATTCCTTTATCTTTACATCTTATATAATACAAAGCACTCATACATTCTGCCTCTGCCTCTAAATGCTTGTTCATGTCGTTACTAGGTACCAGGATCGTGAGGGATGGGCGCCTGCCATGTATCTGAAAAAACCGGAGCCCTCTCAGGTTCAAGCTATACGCCATGGCTCAGCATCACTAGCAAGAGAGAAAGGTTTGACTCAAGGGAGCAGTGTTACTAAACCTCCTGGTAAGGATAGATTGTTGACACCTTGTGACAGGGATCGTTGCAAGTAGCACAGGCTTCCTCCCAGTGAAAACATGTGTATTCGATTTATTCATGTTATCCTGATATGGGGCGCCGTTTGTAAATTTTTTTAGACCGAATTTATGCCATTTTCCCCTTATTTATAAATAATTGGAAATGCCACAAAATTTGTTTATAAATAAGACACAAGAACTTGTCCGTTGATATGTAAATAATTATTTTAGGTACGTCCTGTTTTATAAATAATCTTTTACCATAGAGTTATTATATATAAATAATAAATTAAACAACTTCAATTATTTATATATCAGGTCATCTCTAAAATAGTTATTCGCATATCATTAAGTTTCTAAATCCCATCATTTATAAATAAATTACTTCGCCGGGAGTGTAAATTCATTATTTAGAAAAAATAAATTTCACCTCGCTGAGTGTAAATTTATTATTTATAAATAATGAACTTCACTGAGTGTGTAAATTCATTGTTTAGAAATAATGAAGTTTCATTTCAGCTGTAAATTTATTATTTAGAAATAATGAAGTTTCATCTCGCCGAGTGTAAATTTGTTACTTAGAAATAATGAACTTCACTGAGGATGTAAATTTATTATTTAGAAANATGAATTTACACACTCAATGAAGTTCATTATTTATAAATAATAAATTTACACTCGGCGAGGTGAAATTCATTATTTATAAATAATGAATTTACACTCCCGGCGAAGTAATTTATTTTTAAATAATGGGATTTACAAACTTTATGATATGTAAATAACTATTTTAGAGATGGCCTGATTTATAAATAATTGAAGTTGTTTAGTTTATTATTTATATATAATAACTCTATGGTAAAAGATTATTTATCAGAATCAGAACGTACCTAAAATAATTATTTACATATCAACGGACAAGTTATTGTGTCTTATTTATCAACAAATTTTGTGGCATTTCCAATTATTTATAAATAAGGGGAAAATGGCATAAATTCGGTCTAAATAATATTTACAAACGGCGCCCCATATCCTGATCACCAACTTAGCATATAGAGCGATTTTCATTTGGTTGTCGAAAAATAATTGGTTTTGCATTGCTGGGCTAAACGATTGCCTTGAAAAACTCACGCCACTTTTTCATCCGATCAGAAGAAAAACCAAAACCAATCATGACTCGTTCGCACACGTTTTCCCGCGCTTTGCGTCAGCTACATGTAATTACTTCAAGTTTGATTGGTTCACTGTATTGTCTGTGTCCTTTGTGATTGGCTAGAGTGATTACTTTGGTTCTGGTTTTACGACACTCAATTGAAAACTGCTCTAAACCAAAACCAAAACCAAAATTATCACTCTTGCCTAAAAGGACATAAATAATCCAGTGAACCATGTAGCATGTAGCCGATGTCATGCGCGGGAATACGTGTACAAGCGAGTTAGGATAAGTTTTGATGTACTTCTGATTGGATGAAAAAGTTGCGCAGTTTTTTGAGTCAATCGCTTTGGTTAGTAATGTAGGACCCAAGCAAATGCGAATAAACATGCTCGAATATTTGTCCGCGGGCATTATCTGCTCCGAAAAGCGAACAGTTTTCCGAGAGCATATTTTCGCGCCAAATGGGGGCTATTGTGTTTATTATCCTTCAAATGTTTTTCGCAACACGCGCGGTTTTGAAAATTGGGGAATACCACTCGGATATTCCCCAGTTTTAGCTGGGAATATTTAGTGACCTGACGCGTTTAGACCAATCGCGCACGAGCGAAAATATTTGATGGATTATAATTTTCGATACTCAAGTCTGATATAAACAATTTGAACTTGTTATTGCTCATGGCTTCATAACTCCAGTTCTCAGTTGAGCGTCGCTCCAGTATTGGTTTCGTCGATATCGTTCAAATGTAACTAGATGTTTTCTTTGTATTTCTGTTCGGTGAACAGAATCACACAGGACAGAGTCAAAAGTTCGGAAGGTGCCTCCAAGAAAGAGTTCGGTGAGTCTCCACTGAAAGCACATTTTCATTTTTTGCATCTACTTACACAGATCAGCAGGGACATGCTTTCACCTTGATCGATTGATTGCGCTCATGCGAATTTCGCACAATTTTGCCCGACAATGGAACTGTCTTCATCAGTTGCCCTCTTTCCAATTCTTTTTCAGGTTAAGAAGTCAATAAAGAAGCTGCCAGTCCACATCACAAACATGTCTTATGAGCAGACGATGGCACTCGGCGATTCCCTTAGACAGCCCAAGTCACCAGAAGTGGAATATTTCACCCTTGGCGATTTTCGTTCTCTGGGCGTTGAAGGCGCGTTAAACTTTACAGAAGGAGTATCGGTGGAGGTTTTTGAAAAAGCTCCCAATGGATGGTGGCTGGGAAAAATTGGAGGTAATGAGGGTTGGATTCCTTCCTCATACCTGGGAAAAAGGGGCAAGGAGAAAACACCTGAGAAAAACTCGTTTGCAAAACAGCGTGACTCTCCAAAACAAAGCGATTCAAAGAGAGTAATTCCTGCTTCAAATGCCTCACAAAGCATTTCCAAGTCGTCAGCGTCTGTCGCTAATAAGGCTTCAGACGTTCACGCAACGTTTATCACTTTGGCGGATTATGAAGATAATTTTGAAGGAAGTATTTCATTCAAAGAGGGACAAATAGCACATTTAATAGAGAAAAATCAGGATGGATGGTCATTTGTACGGATACAAGACAAAGAAGGCTGGGTGCCGTCTAGCTATCTTGCTTCCAGTGCAGATAAGAAATCTACAGCACCTCCGAGACCAGCGGCGCCCGCGGGTGTAAAGCCACCCGCGAGTATAAAGCCACCCGCGAGTGTAAAGCCACTCTCGGGTGAAAAGACACCCGCGAGTGTAAAGCTACCCTCAGGTGTAAAGCCACTCTCGGGTGTAAAGCCACCCTCGGGTGAAAAGCCACCCTCAAAAGGAAGACCGGAAGTTTCAACTCAACAGGGAAAGGCTGTAAGTGAGGCGCAATCACAGCGAATTAAGATACCGTTACCTCCTGTGAAAGCTTCAGTCAAGCCGCCTTCGTCTTTAACAAATCCTGTGCCAAAGAAACCTGATCTTCCGACTAAACCTGAAGTAAAACCGCGCTCGAAGATTTCCCAAGCTGAAGTGCCACCAAGGCCATCGCTTAGAAAAATAATTTCTGTTCCTGAGAACAAGAAAACGATGTGTAAAGCCTTGGAGTCATTCTCTTCTAATGGCGAAGGTTTGTCATTCTGCAAGGGAGACGAATTTGAGTTTCTAGAGGATTCCAATACCGGTTGGTGGCTTATCAAGACAAAACATGGTAATGAAGGCTGGGCGCCGGCTTCGTACTTAGAAACAGTGAACAAAAAACCAACAGTATCCGGAAAACCAGCTAGACCAAATCCTCCGAAGACTGGACAACAGCAAAACGCGAAAACAGTTTATGTGGCAGTAGCAGCTTATACTGATGACGGTGATAAAGAATGCATTAGCTTCAAGGAAGGTGATCGAATGGAAGTGCTGGAGATGGACGAGGGAGGCTGGTGGCTAGTTAAGATTGGAGCCAAGTCTGGATGGGCGCCGTCAAATTATTTGCAAGCTTTAGAATGAAATATTCAGAAGTAAAAATGTAAATAATAATGGATAATTGTTGATAAATCGAAGTTCTTAATGGCTCTGAATGTTTATGGGTACAAAACAAAATCAGGTATTGTTTCATCTTTCAACCTCAAGGTGATTTCGTTTGTTTTATTCCCCTAAACCTCCGTGCCAAGTCATACGTCACATATCATACATGATGTACTGTATGTGAAGAACTCACTGTTGATTGTTAGTGACCTAATCTGGTTTAGTAATTTGGGATCAGTTTCCGTAATGAAATCACCATTGGCAGTTTATTTGAACTCGGTAGGAAAGGCTTTGCGGTTTTCTGAGCCTATGAAGGGAGTACAGACACTGTATTCTGCAATTGACTAAGTCAGCATTCTATGATTTTTAGTTCCTGTACATCGTTCTCTCTCTCTTACATTTCTTTGACTAGAACTGAACTCGTAATGACCTTGAAATTTGTAAGTGCCTTTAGTCTCTCTCTATTTAGTTTCAGTTGTTTCAATTAGTCAAATGCCACTTAGAATATAAATATATATTACGAATTCACTGAATGTTACACGACGCAGTTACTGAAAAAGGAAGAAACGCATCGTTTCCAAACATAAGTAATGTCTTACAAGTTTCATTACAAATTTTAATACTTCAATGAATGTGGTAAAGATCTCTAAGGCTGATTCAGAATTGAGGCCTTGTAAGTCCTCTGGTACAGTCAGGAAAGCGTTTGACTTGCACAAATATTTTCACTAGTTTTAAAGAAAGTGCGAGTCCCTTCTTTCTATAAAAATCAAGCCGAGCAACTGTTTGAACTGTATTGAATAGCACATTAAATGAAGGATTAAGATACATCTTCCTAGTTTATCTTTGGTCTCTTCCAATTGAACACTAACAAGGTTAGAAACGAACATGTCCTGATCAGGTTGGCTATTTGTATCATACATTGGAACAAAAAGATCCGTCATACTGCATTCACTGAGCAGTAAACAACAACTGATTATGATCTTTTGTTTTACTTTCTCTGTGTACATATCATCGCCGAAGAGTGAAGAATACGAAAATACTTTGTAGAGGTATTTGACGTCCTGGAGAGAAGGTTTCGAATCGACTCGTTCCATACACAGGGTCAGAGCCGAGACAGGAAAGACAGAAGTACGAAGCCTCACGGGAAAATCACTAATTATCCTCGACTGCACGTGGTGCTGTGTTCAGCGATTTCTGTTACACCTTCCTGTGTCAATCAATTCTTAACTGCACACTGTCCTGACAAGTTTTTTGAGGAACAAATTAATATCCTTACAGATTTCCGTAAGTCTGTAGAAAACACATGATCTGAAATGGGTGATTTACATACGAAGCTAAAGATGGCTATTCCAGAAAGGCCATATATATTCGAACTTGTTTGACGTAAACGAAGTCTCTGTTATTTCCAAACCTTATTTGAAATGCACTTTTAGTAAGAGCGAGGTGGAGGTTGGACTAATTATCATTTCTTGATCTCAGAACCTATAGCTTGTTCCACCTGGATCAAATTTGATCATTTATCGTTTTTGAATGTCGCATACAATTTTCCTTTACCCCCCAGAAGCTCCCTAAATCCCAGTGTACCTTGCTTGCCAAAGACTCGTCATGTAACATTCCGCACAGTTTGCATAGCGCTACTATCGGCTCGGTTGCGTACTTTTTCTTCCAGTGAAAATATTCGTTGTAAGCGGTGCTGTTCCTATCAAGAGCTTTCAAATATGATGCAAGACTCTTGATGGAAGAAAAGTCCAGTACATTGATGTAAGATTCTGGAATCACTAGTTTACTGTAATCAGCTCCTCCCATAACTACTGGAACCAAGTCATGCTCTAAAGCCTGTTCCCAGTACTTTTCCGTGATGTAGTCTTCGCAGAATCCATTTTCAAAAGCTAAGTAAAACTTGTACGAGCTCAACAAGGCGTCACACTGTTGGCTTCCACGAGGGCACGGAGAAGCATTGGGATTGCATTTACCAAATACGTCGACAGGAATGTACAACTGAAGCTGCTCTACATACTGTTCACGGAGGAACGCTGGTGACGAGCAATGACTTGAGGCCCAGGCCACCAGTCTGGTCTTCTCGGCTGAAAAGTTTCTATCTAGACATAACGAAGCAAATGCCATACATTATAAGTAGCAAATGAAGATTTTTTTCCTTTACAGTAACATAATATAAGCATGGTTTCTTCATTCCAGGCCATAAACATTGCAATCAAACCTGAGTACAATTTTACTGCTAGATAATGTGAAACAACGGTCTACCCACCTACCTGCTAAAGAGTCGTGCTGGCTGAGAAAAGAGGTGTTTAGAATTGTTCTGTAACTACCATAAGGAACCCACACATCTGACAATCGCTTGTATGTCATTGTCCAATTAAATACTCCGTTATACTTAGAGGGCTCAGGTGAAGTGTAATGAGGATTTTCTTGAACGAAATAAACCCATCGCTGATTGGTGGATCGTTCTGTAGGCAATACACTTGGCATGTCTCTGCCGTGGAAAATCACAGCGTCACTGTCACGCAATAACTCTTTGTCATCAGATATAATACACCAAGGCACGTGACACGACTGAAGAGATGTCCGTGACCATATTGACGTCGGGCGGACACCGAATATCTTGGTGTAAAATAAAATAACTTTCCACTTCTGAGAGTAGCGAGTTTCTCTTGACGTCCCATTAAATGCAGGAATAAGAATTGCCAAAGCGAAAATGGTTAAAGTCAGCGAAATTAGCAGGAACAAGTCATATCCGAAAAACTTGGTACGTCGAATTGTCAGCATTTTAAATGGAAACTACCCAAGACTTCCTTGTTACTTGTTATAAGACAAAGCTTAAGAATTGCGCTTAGAGTACCTCGCAGTAAAGTCTGAATATTTGGAGGGAAAAAGCAGAATTTTTATCAAGAAACACCAACCCTATCCCCTCTCTGTCGTCGAAATATGCAAACGTTGTATGCCACGGTGTTTGTTTTGCCCTCCCTGGCAGGTGCCGTCGATGTTTTTAGTATCAAGATGTCTTTATGAATCTGACCTTGCAAGATAGAATGTCTATTGAGGTTTTCAATATCCAAACAAGTATAAATAAGTCTCATCTGCAGATAAAAATAATAAATAATATAATTAAGCAGGCAAGCCGGTTTTCGAAAGTTTTGGCCCCTGGAAAACCGGTAAGTAATAAAAATAGACTGAAGAATTTCAAGAGCCGTGTTCTATCGAGAAGAACTATGCAAACCGCTATTTTTAAAGCAGCGATTTGCACTAGTGCATGACTCGTTAAAAAAAGGGATTAAATGTTGCCGTGCGTCTGTTCAGTAACAGATCACAGATGACGTCAAATGTGGTAAGAACAAAAAAAAGTGGCACATGACCCATTAGGCGAGTGTGTCACTAATGTTCCTACCACATTTTGACGTCATCTATGATCTAACACTGAACAGACGCACGGCAATATAGAATCTACTTGTTTTATTTCATAAAGAAACCAAAAACAAGTTGTTAATGACTTCATCTATGCATCTGTCCTCTAATAGATCATAAGTAAGCACCGATCAAAATTATTATTATATAAATAATAAACGATCAAAATATTGGGGTTTGTTTCCGTATATTTTAAGCAGACGTGATAGATCAAGGACACAATCATCCAGTCCAATAAAAGCCGCAAACATTCATAAAACAAATTAACTAACCAGAACAGCTCAGTATCATTTTCGTGACACAATAGGCTACCGTGGCAACAGTATTACCCGCTAAAAACACTCTATTTTAGCTTCAAATGCTAATAACTCAAAAACGAGCTAGCTAGGCGACACCCTTTTTCCATTATCGAATCTTGATCAGCGGGATAAGACGCAACTGTTGGCAAAGTTTGAAACAAATTTGTTGGTGGGGTTCAGAGCCACCTTAAATTTTCAAATGTGGTTTATAATAAACTACTTGCTGGTCTAGCTTGCTTGAGCCGTACTTGGCAATATTGGCCCTGGGTCGTTTTTGTACGGACCTCACTGCGCTCAGTCCTCACTACCTCGACCCCGGGTCAATGTTCAGCCTTTGCATTGTTCAGTTCTCGCCCTCAACCCTCGGGGCATTGTTCAGCCCTCATTGTACACCCCTCGCGCTCGGTTAGTAAGAGTTAATTTAACTCTAGAATAATCGAGACCTTGTCATGATATTTCTAAGCCAGACATAAGGTAATGAAATTTTTGCGTCAAAAAAAAAACACTCCTGTCTGAACTGAAGCCAGTGTCAAACCACAGATGATTAACAACAGTAACTATCTTTCAGTTGAAACCAATTCACAAAAAATGTGTGCTAAAAATGAATCAGCTTATAAGATGCACCCCGTTTGCAAGTGTTTAAATAATTGATGGTTTTGGGTAGGACTCTTTCTGACAAACGCTAATTTATATTTTGGAGGAATTTAGAATTAAGAAGAGTAACTGACTCACAAACAAGATGATGTAGCTATGTGGTATGTCCTCTTTGCATTTGTGTTCATTCTGAACATTATGCAAATAAAATCCTTCCTCTTTGCGGGAAATCAGCTGGCTGTGATTTTTTTTCTTTGGGGGACAAATGGTAGCGTAGTAGTCATAATGTCAGCAGGTGTGTAGATAATCGGGAAACTTCTCTTTATTCACTGTACCTTGCAGTCATCACACACGAAGGTCTAAACGATTTCCCTATGCATCATGACAAGCTGGGAAAAACTTGATTAATGATGGATTGGACGGCAACAAACGTGAGAAACTTTATAAAACAACGGAATATTCCACAATCATCGAAGTTCGTAATGGGAGTAATCCCGCTGGATATTAAAAAGGCAACTCGACATGGTGCAAATCATATCTTAATCAAATAGAGCTTTCAAGCTGACGAGATTCAGACACTTCTATTGGCCCAGTAACACACTCCCCATGGAGTGTTTCATCCCTTTTGGCAAAATTTGGTCAAGAATGATTTAATAAACCTTGAGGGGTAAATGAAATTCAACAAGCTAAACTAAAAACGTCAGTTACATTATTGGAAAACTTAAATTTACATCGTTTCAGCGTACATGTCGATGTTGTTTTAAGATTGTCGAGCGAACCAAACCTGAAGAAGAGATGTCTATGGTGAAACTGAAACTGGCATCTCCAATCCTGCTGCCCTCTAGCAAAATCAATTAAATCAATCGATTAGTAATGCTGTTTATGACACTGAAGGCAGGATACCATGGAAAGACAAATAACTGCTAAAAAAGGGCCCAATGTTGTTTATAAATATGACCTAAGCAAGTTAGTTGTATTCATACAAAAAGCACCTGGAACCTCGGGGAAGTCATTAAGTTTGACTTAAAATGCTTTAAATTTCACAGCTCTCGTGTTCTGAGATTGTCAGAACCCAATGGCCAGGTGATCAGAGAGTGCAGGTGTCTAGTGAGAAAGCTCGCTTATTCCGTTTTTTAAAGCCACAAAAATCCCGATGGAAGGTTTCATTTTGCAGTATGCAGCAAATCAAACCGATTCAATCAACAGATTAAGAACCTGCTTGCTAGCTAACTGTGTTGTCAACATGGTCAGTCTGTTCGTTGCAGGTTTTGGAAATGCAGTGATTCTTTTATCCATCTGGCGAACCAAAACCCTGCATTCGCCTTCAAACACTTTGTTGTTCGCGCTTTCATTGACTGATTTCTTGGTAGGAATAGTAACACAACCTTTGTACATCACTTCCCGTCTGTACTTTCTTGTTACCGACAAAGATGGTCCGCAAGCTCTTCAAACTACTTTTGATGTCATTTCAAGCCTTCTGTCAGGAGTTTCGTTTATGACGGCAACTTTAATCAGCGTGGATAGATACCTTGTACTCTTACTACACTTGAGGTATAGAAGCCTTGTCACAAGCAAGAGAATACTGGTCTTTATCTTTGGCTCGTGGTTGTTATCTTCAATATGGGGATTTACGTGGACGCACGACCTTCAACTGTTTTACCTTTTGGGTTTTGTGTCCTCTACCTTATGTTTCTCGATGATAGTTATCATGTACTGTAAGATTTATCGTGTTATCAGACGTCATCGCAAAGAAATTCACCATCAAGCAAGGTTTGGCGAGTCGTCCAGCCGAGTTAATCAGTTTACAAGTTACACGCGGTCAGTCGTCAACACGTTTATCGTATGTTTTCTCCTCTTTCTGTGCTATTTTCCTTATCTTTGCACAGCAGCCGTTATACAGCTTGGTGGCCACAGTCCCGCTAGAAAAATGTCCTTAGAAGTTTCTGGCACGATAATTTTCACAAATTCGTCCGTAAATCCGTTTGTTTATTTTTGGCGTGTAAAAGAGTTTCGAGGTGCGATAAAGCATACGTTGAACCGATTAAGAATCACAACAAACGAAGTCGGAATTAACTCTACTAACAGGAATTCTTGGTTCTAAATCAAATGAATATGTTGTGGCTGTTTTCGCTGAGGCGTTTCTTGGAACCTGGAAAAAACAATGAACAGTTTGCCCATGCTCTCTGTAGGGGGTCGGTACAAAACGTGGACCCCTCAATCTGGAACCCCTACTGGACCCCCTTTTGGAACCCATCTGGACCCCTTTCTGGACCCCCATCTGGACCCCCATCTGGACCCCCTATTTTTTCTTCCGAAAATACGGGCTACTGATTTAAATAATTCAACCTAGAACATAACACGATGAAGTCTATTTAATCCGGGAGCAAAATGTGAAGAAACAATGAATTCACGCAGCGTTGTGAATAATATGATGGCTTTAGCCGGAGTTAACTGAGTTTATTTTTTAGAAACGTGGTTAAAATTCCCAGAAAACTTAACTCGGTTAAAGGTTGGTTACAATGATGACGAAACAACGGGGTTATATTTAATGAGCGGCTACATTGAAATTGGTTATGAAGTCAGTGAACTCAATTATTGACGTCATGACATGGATAAACCAACAAAACGACAGACTTTGAGAACCAGTCTTTTATTTTCTTGATTCTTTTTCTTTGTTTTCGTGTCCTTCAGTCTCTTTACATTCACGGCTAAGGCCGTCTGTCTTCCTTCTCATGCGTACTATACACGAATTTCCAAGGCAGTTCTTTCAAACACGATGTTGATTTTGTGTAGACGCCAGTGTTTTCCATCGCCGTCGAATGAATCTTCCTCGAATTTGGCTCTATCTGAAAAATCAGCGATGGTTTGAGAAATCACCAGATATCTTACTATACATGACTTTAATACCGTGGCTTTTATAGAGAGCACCTCAGAATGAACATCGAGTCCTTTCACTAAGAACGTTGCATATTCTTCCATTTATTACAAAAAGAAACACTCGCTTCTGAGCATCTTTATCGATAGAGAAGCGTGGATTATGGCATCTAGGAATTGGGAAACGCTCTCGGTCTACAGCTGTTACGTTTGGAAAATGCACTTCACTTAACATTAATTGTTCACGAAATTCATTCATTCATCTGCATTTCTGGCCATTTTAACGAACTGGCCTTCCCTTTGACGTACTCTTGTGTTCTTTGCGGAGGTCGATTAAAATTTCTCCTTCTAAGGTGAATGAGCGCTTCAATTCTTGTTCAGGCCATGCTTCAGGTGTGAAGGTTCCTTGCAAACGTGACTGATATGGTATAGCCGACACATATTAGGAAAAAAACTAGAAATCCGTTCTAGTAATACAACTGTTTCAAACTGTTGTTACCACTTGCCATGGCCAGTAGAAGATTATGCACTTGTTTGTGCCACAGTGAACAACATCTCACATACAGACCATGATGACTGACACATTTCACGAAAAAGCCAATGCACGGCACTGTTAAGAGACCACTACCCTGGGTTAGACCACGCAGAAAGGTAGTTTAAAATTAACCTCACTCGGTTAAAAAATCTATTGTTCTTTAATTAATTTCCATGGTAACCGTTAACCCGGTTTATGTTCAATGAACTGCCGAAAATAGCGCCCACTCACGATTTTTCGGTAACCCAGTTAATCGTAATTGATTAATTAGAAATAACCTAGTTAACTCTCATAGTGCAGCCGCAGCCATTATATTATTCTAGACACAATGCAACGTGAATTCATTAATTTTTTCACATTTTGCACACTGATTAAATAGACTTCATCGTGTTATGTTCTAAGTTAAATCATTTAAATCAGGAGCCCGTATTTTCTGGAAGAAAAAATAGGGAGTCCAGATGGGGCTCCAGATAGGGGTCTAGATGGGGGTTCAAATGGGGGTCTAGATGGGGGTCCAAATGGGGGTCCAGAAGGGGGTCCAGAAGGGGTCCAGATGGGGTCCAAAAGGGGGTCCNTATAAGACAAAGCTTAAGAATTGCGCTTAGAGTACCTCGCAGTAAAGTCTGAATATTTGGAGGGAAAAAGCAGAATTTTTATCAAGAAACACCAACCCTATCCCCTCTCTGTCGTCGAAATATGCAAACGTTGTATGCCACGGTGTTTGTTTTGCCCTCCCTGGCAGGTGCCGTCGATGTTTTTAGTATCAAGATGTCTTTATGAATCTGACCTTGCAAGATAGAATGTCTATTGAGGTTTTCAATATCCAAACAAGTATAAATAAGTCTCATCTGCAGATAAAAATAATAAATAATATAATTAAGCAGGCAAGCCGGTTTTCGAAAGTTTTGGCCCCTGGAAAACCGGTAAGTAATAAAAATAGACTGAAGAATTTCAAGAGCCGTGTTCTATCGAGAAGAACTATGCAAACCGCTATTTTTAAAGCAGCGATTTGCACTAGTGCATGACTCGTTAAAAAAAGGGATTAAATGTTGCCGTGCGTCTGTTCAGTAACAGATCACAGATGACGTCAAATGTGGTAAGAACAAAAAAAAGTGGCACATGACCCATTAGGCGAGTGTGTCACTAATGTTCCTACCACATTTTGACGTCATCTATGATCTAACACTGAACAGACGCACGGCAATATAGAATCTACTTGTTTTATTTCATAAAGAAACCAAAAACAAGTTGTTAATGACTTCATCTATGCATCTGTCCTCTAATAGATCATAAGTAAGCACCGATCAAAATTATTATTATATAAATAATAAACGATCAAAATATTGGGGTTTGTTTCCGTATATTTTAAGCAGACGTGATAGATCAAGGACACAATCATCCAGTCCAATAAAAGCCGCAAACATTCATAAAACAAATTAACTAACCAGAACAGCTCAGTATCATTTTCGTGACACAATAGGCTACCGTGGCAACAGTATTACCCGCTAAAAACACTCTATTTTAGCTTCAAATGCTAATAACTCAAAAACGAGCTAGCTAGGCGACACCCTTTTTCCATTATCGAATCTTGATCAGCGGGATAAGACGCAACTGTTGGCAAAGTTTGAAACAAATTTGTTGGTGGGGTTCAGAGCCACCTTAAATTTTCAAATGTGGTTTATAATAAACTACTTGCTGGTCTAGCTTGCTTGAGCCGTACTTGGCAATATTGGCCCTGGGTCGTTTTTGTACGGACCTCACTGCGCTCAGTCCTCACTACCTCGACCCCGGGTCAATGTTCAGCCTTTGCATTGTTCAGTTCTCGCCCTCAACCCTCGGGGCATTGTTCAGCCCTCATTGTACACCCCTCGCGCTCGGTTAGTAAGAGTTAATTTAACTCTAGAATAATCGAGACCTTGTCATGATATTTCTAAGCCAGACATAAGGTAATGAAATTTTTGCGTCAAAAAAAAAACACTCCTGTCTGAACTGAAGCCAGTGTCAAACCACAGATGATTAACAACAGTAACTATCTTTCAGTTGAAACCAATTCACAAAAAATGTGTGCTAAAAATGAATCAGCTTATAAGATGCACCCCGTTTGCAAGTGTTTAAATAATTGATGGTTTTGGGTAGGACTCTTTCTGACAAACGCTAATTTATATTTTGGAGGAATTTAGAATTAAGAAGAGTAACTGACTCACAAACAAGATGATGTAGCTATGTGGTATGTCCTCTTTGCATTTGTGTTCATTCTGAACATTATGCAAATAAAATCCTTCCTCTTTGCGGGAAATCAGCTGGCTGTGATTTTTTTTCTTTGGGGGACAAATGGTAGCGTAGTAGTCATAATGTCAGCAGGTGTGTAGATAATCGGGAAACTTCTCTTTATTCACTGTACCTTGCAGTCATCACACACGAAGGTCTAAACGATTTCCCTATGCATCATGACAAGCTGGGAAAAACTTGATTAATGATGGATTGGACGGCAACAAACGTGAGAAACTTTATAAAACAACGGAATATTCCACAATCATCGAAGTTCGTAATGGGAGTAATCCCGCTGGATATTAAAAAGGCAACTCGACATGGTGCAAATCATATCTTAATCAAATAGAGCTTTCAAGCTGACGAGATTCAGACACTTCTATTGGCCCAGTAACACACTCCCCATGGAGTGTTTCATCCCTTTTGGCAAAATTTGGTCAAGAATGATTTAATAAACCTTGAGGGGTAAATGAAATTCAACAAGCTAAACTAAAAACGTCAGTTACATTATTGGAAAACTTAAATTTACATCGTTTCAGCGTACATGTCGATGTTGTTTTAAGATTGTCGAGCGAACCAAACCTGAAGAAGAGATGTCTATGGTGAAACTGAAACTGGCATCTCCAATCCTGCTGCCCTCTAGCAAAATCAATTAAATCAATCGATTAGTAATACTGTTTATGACACTGAAGGCAGGATACCATGGAAAGACAAATAACTGCTAAAAAAGGGCCCAATGTTGTTTATAAATATGACCTAAGCAAGTTAGTTGTATTCATACAAAAAGCACCTGGAACCTCGGGGAAGTCATTAAGTTTGACTTAAAATGCTTTAAATTTCACAGCTCTCGTGTTCTGAGATTGTCAGAACCCAATGGCCAGGTGATCAGAGAGTGCAGGTGTCTAGTGAGAAAGCTCGCTTATTCCGTTTTTTAAAGCCACAAAAATCCCGATGGAAGGTTTCATTTTGCAGTATGCAGCAAATCAAACCGATTCAATCAACAGATTAAGAACCTGCTTGCTAGCTAACTGTGTTGTCAACATGGTCAGTCTGTTCGTTGCAGGTTTTGGAAATGCAGTGATTCTTTTATCCATCTGGCGAACCAAAACCCTGCATTCGCCTTCAAACACTTTGTTGTTCGCGCTTTCATTGACTGATTTCTTGGTAGGAATAGTAACACAACCTTTGTACATCACTTCCCGTCTGTACTTTCTTGTTACCGACAAAGATGGTCCGCAAGCTCTTCAAACTACTTTTGATGTCATTTCAAGCCTTCTGTCAGGAGTTTCGTTTATGACGGCAACTTTAATCAGCGTGGATAGATACCTTGTACTCTTACTACACTTGAGGTATAGAAGCCTTGTCACAAGCAAGAGAATACTGGTCTTTATCTTTGGCTCGTGGTTGTTATCTTCAATATGGGGATTTACGTGGACGCACGACCTTCAACTGTTTTACCTTTTGGGTTTTGTGTCCTCTACCTTATGTTTCTCGATGATAGTTATCATGTACTGTAAGATTTATCGTGTTATCAGACGTCATCGCAAAGAAATTCACCATCAAGCAAGGTTTGGCGAGTCGTCCAGCCGAGTTAATCAGTTTACAAGTTACACGCGGTCAGTCGTCAACACGTTTATCGTATGTTTTCTCCTCTTTCTGTGCTATTTTCCTTATCTTTGCACAGCAGCCGTTATACAGCTTGGTGGCCACAGTCCCGCTAGAAAAATGTCCTTAGAAGTTTCTGGCACGATAATTTTCACAAATTCGTCCGTAAATCCGTTTGTTTATTTTTGGCGTGTAAAAGAGTTTCGAGGTGCGATAAAGCATACGTTGAACCGATTAAGAATCACAACAAACGAAGTCGGAATTAACTCTACTAACAGGAATTCTTGGTTCTAAATCAAATGAATATGTTGTGGCTGTTTTCGCTGAGGCGTTTCTTGGAACCTGGAAAAAACAATGAACAGTTTGCCCATGCTCTCTGTAGGGGGTCGGTACAAAACGTGGACCCCTCAATCTGGAACCCCTACTGGACCCCCTTTTGGAACCCATCTGGACCCCTTTCTGGACCCCCATCTGGACCCCCATCTGGACCCCCTATTTTTTCTTCCGAAAATACGGGCTACTGATTTAAATAATTCAACCTAGAACATAACACGATGAAGTCTATTTAATCCGGGAGCAAAATGTGAAGAAACAATGAATTCACGCAGCGTTGTGAATAATATGATGGCTTTAGCCGGAGTTAACTGAGTTTATTTTTTAGAAACGTGGTTAAAATTCCCAGAAAACTTAACTCGGTTAAAGGTTGGTTACAATGATGACGAAACAACGGGGTTATATTTAATGAGCGGCTACATTGAAATTGGTTATGAAGTCAGTGAACTCAATTATTGACGTCATGACATGGATAAACCAACAAAACGACAGACTTTGAGAACCAGTCTTTTATTTTCTTGATTCTTTTTCTTTGTTTTCGTGTCCTTCAGTCTCTTTACATTCACGGCTAAGGCCGTCTGTCTTCCTTCTCATGCGTACTATACACGAATTTCCAAGGCAGTTCTTTCAAACACGATGTTGATTTTGTGTAGACGCCAGTGTTTTCCATCGCCGTCGAATGAATCTTCCTCGAATTTGGCTCTATCTGAAAAATCAGCGATGGTTTGAGAAATCACCAGATATCTTACTATACATGACTTTAATACCGTGGCTTTTATAGAGAGCACCTCAGAATGAACATCGAGTCCTTTCACTAAGAACGTTGCATATTCTTCCATTTATTACAAAAAGAAACACTCGCTTCTGAGCATCTTTATCGATAGAGAAGCGTGGATTATGGCATCTAGGAATTGGGAAACGCTCTCGGTCTACAGCTGTTACGTTTGGAAAATGCACTTCACTTAACATTAATTGTTCACGAAATTCATTCATTCATCTGCATTTCTGGCCATTTTAACGAACTGGCCTTCCCTTTGACGTACTCTTGTGTTCTTTGCGGAGGTCGATTAAAATTTCTCCTTCTAAGGTGAATGAGCGCTTCAATTCTTGTTCAGGCCATGCTTCAGGTGTGAAGGTTCCTTGCAAACGTGACTGATATGGTATAGCCGACACATATTAGGAAAAAAACTAGAAATCCGTTCTAGTAATACAACTGTTTCAAACTGTTGTTACCACTTGCCATGGCCAGTAGAAGATTATGCACTTGTTTGTGCCACAGTGAACAACATCTCACATACAGACCATGATGACTGACACATTTCACGAAAAAGCCAATGCACGGCACTGTTAAGAGACCACTACCCTGGGTTAGACCACGCAGAAAGGTAGTTTAAAATTAACCTCACTCGGTTAAAAAATCTATTGTTCTTTAATTAATTTCCATGGTAACCGTTAACCCGGTTTATGTTCAATGAACTGCCGAAAATAGCGCCCACTCACGATTTTTCGGTAACCCAGTTAATCGTAATTGATTAATTAGAAATAACCTAGTTAACTCTCATAGTGCAGCCGCAGCCATTATATTATTCTAGACACAATGCAACGTGAATTCATTAATTTTTTCACATTTTGCACACTGATTAAATAGACTTCATCGTGTTATGTTCTAAGTTAAATCATTTAAATCAGGAGCCCGTATTTTCTGGAAGAAAAAATAGGGAGTCCAGATGGGGCTCCAGATAGGGGTCTAGATGGGGGTTCAAATGGGGGTCTAGATGGGGGTCCAAATGGGGGTCCAGAAGGGGGTCCAGAAGGGGTCCAGATGGGGTCCAAAAGGGGGTCCAGATTGGGGGGTCCACGTTTTGTACTGACCCCTCTGTAGGTGCTTCTGGTATATCAGCGAAGGCAGAAATTCGTGACTATATATTATCACGGAACTGCTCTGGTGTGATCAGATTGTACGCTTAGATGCAGCCGACTGTAGTGATAAACATTCTTCTTTCAAAGGGCCGCGTGGGTTACCAGAAATATTATTTATGTTGCTTTTCATAATTTGCGTCAGTCTTCAAAAGGCATGAACTGGCAATGAACATGTCCCAGTCCCCTGTAAAACTGGTTCACTGCAATACCACACATGGAAATAGAATATTGCATTTTAGTTAAGAAGTAACTTAGTATTGGTCAGTACCCTTAGTTTGTTATACAATGGATGAAATAAAGCTAGTTCACTGCTAGTCAGCTTCCCCGGGGTGGGTACTCCCAAAAAAGTTGGGTGGGGGTGTGCGGCCCACTTCCCAAAACCCTTACCCTATTTATGATCAAAGTCTGCGATTTTTGCTACCCTGTTTATGACCTGGCCAAAAATTTGATACCCTATTTATGACCGTTGAGGCTGGCACAGTTGCCCTAAACATACATTATGAAGGGCTTTTGCTGACGGTCTTATTGATAAATTATGATGAAAAAGTAGCTTCTTTCCAAGAAACATACCCAATTAAAGACTAGAGTGCTAAAACCCTACCCTATTTAAGACCAAAATGGCCAAAATCGATATCCTATTTATGACAAAAACGACTAAAACCCCCTACCCTTTGGGGCCACACGTACCTATAGCCCATATAAGGGAGTACCCCCCCCCCCCGGGTCAGCTTCCTACTATAAACCGTTATAGATAGCTAGATATGAAACGTTACAAAAAATAAAACAACAATTCAGCAAACTGGAACCTCGGGATTAAATACAAGAACAATCGTTGTAGCTGTAGCCATGGCTAGTGTGTAGCTTAAAGTCTGATCTGGTATAACTGTAAATTTGTGTGGTTCAACTTTCCACTGAATAAACTATTGACACCCCATATGTATGTATATGTACATTGCATTATGTACAAAGATCACACGTCAAAATATGGAAAGTCATATAAAAGTTATCAACTCTAGCTGTCAATTCTTTGGTTTGAAAAATGCATCTAAAACCATTTGCTTTCTTCCATCATGAGGATCTGCCCTCTTTCTTTTCCTGTCTACTTTAGCAGGCTGTTTTTCATTTTTACCATGACTGTAGTTTTCAAAAGCACTGAACACTTTCCTCATGGCTGTAGAAAGAGCAGCTTTATCTACATCATCCCTTGGTATCCACTTCATTTCCCTGTTTTCATGTGTGGTTTCATCTAAAGTTTCATGTCCAGTGTACTTGTAAGCATATACAACATACTTGTGATGAATGTGTGAAAAGTGGTGAGAAACCTCCCCTATGCTTTCTACATTCTTTTTCTGTTCCAGAGTTATCCCCAGTTCACTTTCTAAGAAATTACCCAGAGCTGTGAACATTCCAGTTCCTGGCAAGCTGGATTCTACAGTTGTGTTAGGAAACTCCCACAGACCAGCTAGTAGACCTGTTTTTGGCCTCTGAACAATAAGAAAGTGAGATCCAAGCTCTGACACTCTTTCTAAAACAACAACAGCCAGAGTTTCTTCTTTTGGTTGTTTCTTTTTAGCTTTATGTGGGTAATTACATACTCCAAGGGAAGCATTCCACAATGTAGATGGCAGGCAAAGCTTGCATTCTTCAATATCTGTAACCGTATCATCCCTTACACCACTGTCGGCAGATTTAATGCCTTTCCCACTTAGCAGCATGGAAGCTGATACTTTGTGTTCCTCCACTTGCTTTAGTGCACTGCAATGTTTTTGCAGAGGGCAAGCATGACACTGTGGAGACTGTGGTGTACACAAAGTTGCGCCAAATTCCATTAAAGCCTGATTAAAATCTCCTGGTCTGTCTTCAGGAACAAGCTTGTTAGCAAGTTCCCAAAACTTTTCCACAGCTTGATTACTGGAGCTCAAAGCTCCAATGCTGCAGAGTCTTGACAAAACTCTTATCACATTTCCATCAACTACTCCTGTGCACTCACCAAATGCAATAGAAGCAATGGCACCAGCAGTGTATCTTCCAACCCCTGGAAGCTGCTTCAAGAGGTCAGTTGCCGTGGAAGGGATGTTTCCACTCATTTCCTCAATAACCTAAAGTATGAAAGCACAGATTTAAATATAAGAGATTAAAGGAACGACACTAATCCAAAGTACTAGTATTTAAGTCTCAAAATTATATGCTGGACATGCATGTATATAATTTATGAAAAGAGTTACTTAAATATATTATGAGGGCCTTACTGGAAGAATATCTGCCCATGGTCTCGAAAATATGGACCAAGCACAGTGAGGTCCATACAAAAAAGAGGGGGACATTGGGAGGTACCCAATACCGTAATACCGCAAGAAAATTAATTGGCATATACTGAAATATCATATCGAAAATCGCCTAAATACCGATACCCCACTCCTGTTATAATCGGTCACACTTACTTAAACTTGCATCCATCTACTGTGTTTATTTATTGCAAGCATGTATGCACCATATGTCCCTGTATTTTGGTTATTTTGGTAGTTTGATGGTGAAGTTATTTGTAGGCTACCACAAAACCAATTGTCTCTTACTTTCTTTCTCATCAGGATGCAAAAACAATCACATTGTAGATTAACTGTCAGAAATTGTGTAATCATTTACCATTATGTTAAAGATTTAACGACCTTTATAGCTTACTCATTGATCTTTATAGCTCGCTGTGCTTTGTTTTGCTCAGTGCATTGATCTGTATTGGACAGGAGAGCACAAATGAACAGTACCGCAGTACTGAGCCAAAAGGATGAAAAAACCACATACCGCCAGGCTAGATGATGCCGCGATACTGCACACTAAGATTTAAATTACTGATATACTGCATGAAAAAAAACTCAATACTGTAATACCATTAACCCCAATGTCCCCCTCAAAAAAGACCAAGGGCTGATACTCTGCGGGTATGGTCCTGAGCAAGCTTGGTTAATAAGGGATTTATTACACAACTGAAAAGGTTTTTAGCATATCACAATATTTTCCGCACATTCTGGGAATATTCATGTGGCCTTGAACATAATTATCAACTGCAAAAAAGACTGATTTTTCTTGAAGAGAGTGGACAGTGTTTGCAAAATAAGCTGGCGCCCAACAATCGTCATCACCTACTTCAAACATTTGTGCCGGGTTTTTCTTGAATTTCAAAGTGTATTAATAATGCAGTTTTGTTTCCCCGAGGCAATCAGACCTTTCTGAGGAAATAGATGACCAGGTGAAAAAAAAAAAAAAAACAGTGCCGCTAGTATATGTTAACCTTTCAAACATTGAAACAAGAGTAATTTTTGGTAGCCATTCTGCTGTCATTTAAATGTACACATATCAGATTTGTTGGCACAACTGCACATCTTCCATGATAAAGCAGGCAACAGACCATGCTGTCTTTTTATTGCCACTGTTGAGAAATCACCAAGGCAAACACGTAAACAAATATTATCTGCTGTTCAAGTTTTGAAAGCAACAATGAAACAATCAGATTATATTTAAGTTGAATTAGCCACAAATTAACCTGGCTGTTAAGATATCCTTGGGTGAATGCAACGGCAGTCGTGAAATGTTACTTTAAGGCCAGAAGTGCTCCAAATGATTCTAAGCAACGGTTTGTGTTTAAGACTACTGAAAAATCAAAAAATCAAAGCAGAAATGAGATTGTATTGATAATTCATGTAAGTGACAGGAAAGATATCACCAGAAGTCAAGCCAACCCTTTCACCATAATGGACCTAATTCATCTGCAGCTCTTTTTCATTACCAAAACTAAAATGATCTTGTTATTGAAACTTTTTCCCTTAAACTTGCACAACTGAAATAAGTTATGGTAATAACATTACAGTTGATTCATGTTACAATTCAATTGAATAGAGTTGCAAGCCAAACATGATACTGCAATATAACAAGTGCCAATGGAATGAAAAGCATTATGTAACATTTAATATGTGAACTTCTAAAGAAACACACCTAAATCAATAAGCAATTTTTCAATAAACTCTACTTAAAAATCACTTTTGGGTGCTAAAAACGCACAAGATTGCACCTAAAGGCACCCAAATTTTCAAACTTTTCCAGTCTCCAACCCAACACACTGACCCCCCTACAGGAGGGGACACTCTTTCCTACATGACTGTGATTGCATCCCAATAGTGTTCCACCTAACTTATGATCTCCTCCGGTTACTTTATTTCAGTTTGAAAACCCTGGTGGGCGCCCGTATACAGGCTACTGTGTACCCATGACCTGATCACGTGATCAAACATTGTATCCCTGGAAATTATACAATTTTGAGGGGCTTTATTTTGTACTTGCTTATCTTGTTTTAGTGAAATGGACCCCTCCCAACTTGTTCGCTGATCTTCTGGTCTAGCGAAATGGATTACATCTTTTAATTCAAAATGCAACAAACCCAAACCAAAACAGTGTTCCACTGACCTTCTTCGCTCCCTCGTGGAGTCTCTTTGCCCGCGAATAATAACCAAGTCCAGACCACATCTCGTTCACTTCCTCCAAACTCGCACGTGACAAGTGTTCAACAGTCGGCCATTTCTCCATCCAGCGAGTGTAATAATCCTTAACAGTAGCGACCTGTGTTTGTTGCAGCATGATCTCAGAGACCCATACAGCGTATGCGCGCTTGTTTGGATCCGTTTGAGACACTCGCTCCCTCCAAGGAAGCTTTCTGTGGTTTTTGTCATACCAAGCCAGCAGTTCGGCGCGAGTTTGCACTATTTCGCCATTTGTGAAGTCGTGCGTGTGTTCCTTTGATCCAACATGGTCCTCACTTTGCGGCTTCAATTTCGTCTTCTTGTTCATACTTCTACCAAATATTAGAGCCAAACTAGCTCAAATTGTACCTTGCAAGGCATATAGATGCGTGGAGTAGGATTGGGGACCAATTTTACGCTTCGCTCATCTCGCGAGTCTGTAGCTCGCGGATTAGTCTCCTGCACAGCCGGTTTTTTTGGGATGTCACGCAACGCTCTGCGTGACATCCCAATAAACGGCCGCGGAGGACTACTCGCGGATTCGATCGCGAAAATCGGCACTTTTGGTATTATCTTTAATTACTAATTTCTTTTGATAAAGGTTTCACTCATCATACGCTCACTGAAGACCACTGAATGCATGCACACAAAAATATTTACAATACAGGATAGAGGAGCCTCCTCACGAAGACTTTGGGCTAGTCACCCAACAGGCTTTTCTCCGTTCACGAACAAGATCGCGTGACGAGTACACCCACCCGTGCAGTGAGCTGAAAAGGATCTGAACTGTCAACTTTTCAAATTCGCTACGCCGCGGGTTAACTTCCAGTTGATGATAAGCTTAGCGTTGGGTGTCTGGAAAACCTGAATAGCGAATAGTCCCGAATAGTGCGAATAGTGGCGAACAGTCGCGAAAAGTGGCGAATAGTGACGAATGTCGTCACTAGTCACCGCTTTAGGTTTAATATCCTGCGTTAATTAATTGTCCAAATAAGCAACAGAATTTCAGTGAATTTATTACCTTTTCTTCTCCGGACTCGGGCTCGGGCTGTCCATCGCCGACGTTAAGAACCAGAAAACACAAGTATAACCTAATAAAGACGTATTTACGCTTTTGGAGCGGTTAAAACAGAAGAAATTACGTTTAGAAACACCTTTTGTCCTGATAAGTGTCTGTGCTTTTTAGTGGGAAAATCCCGTCCTACGTTGCTGCGAGGTTGACTGCGAGATACTGGGTACCCTAATTGCTACCTATTTGCCACTAATTTACCACTATTCGCCACTATTCGAGACTGTCCGCCACTATTCACACTATTCGAGACTATTCGTACTATTCGCTCTTCGCTATTCGGGACTATTCGCTGTTCGCTATTCGCGACTATTCGCTATTCGCTATTCGGGTTTTCCACACACCCCACTATTCGTACTATTCGCTATTCGCTATTCGGGACTATTCGCTGTTCGCTATTCGCGACTATTCGCGACTATTCGCTATTCGGGTTTTCCAGACACCCAGAGAAAAATGGTACAGTTCATGTTATAACCCTCTTGCCATCGTATGTTACTCCTATGTATTTTATGTAACCAATGTGTGTCTGTATGCACTCGTATGTTACTCGTATGTAATCGTATGTTACTCGTATGTACTCGTATTTACTCTTATGTATTCATGTTACTCGTATGTTACTCGTGTGTACTCGTATGTTACTCGTGTGTACTCGTATGTTACTCGTATGTACTCTTGTGGTGTTTTAGTCACGATCCACACACATCGGGTGCTCGCCATTTGCCGGAAAGCATCGATCAGTGTTTTACAAAGCAAAAGAGATGGCACCCGCGATAGGAGACTGGAAATAAGAGCAATGAACAACTGGTACAAAAGCCAATAATTTTCGAACAGACTTTCCAGTCTGTACTGTATCATTTACTTTCCAGCCGTAATTTCTGGTATTTTTTGGTAAAATCATAAGTACCCAGGCGCTCAAGCCTGCATAAACCTGAAACTCTTCGCTCGAAAGAGACAAGTCATCATCACAATGGTAAATAAGCAATTTATTGCTACTTTGTCAAACAATTCTACAATACAATACAATAAAAAACTAATTGAAATTGTTCATGTATGTTTAAAATCTCAGGTGCAACTTTCGGACGTCAATGTAAGTCCGAAAACTTTCGAAGTGAAAGTTTGCCCTGGAATGATACTGCGATGTGAAATCTTACGCCTGTCTAAGCTATTTCCCATTACACTGTCACTCTGAAGTTCAAAACTCAACAAACGGTCGCGTTTTATGCTGCCGCCATTTGTAGCAAAAGAAGCCGTCTGCAAACTGAACTGCTAAAACTTGGAGTAAGAAAAAATTCAAACATTACTCATTTGACACACTTTCCAAGCTATTGAGGTTTGAACGTTCAAGTGTTAGAAAATTAAAATTAACCTTTGTGAGGGTTACTGGTACAGAACCCTGAGTAACTCTTATGTCCAAAATAATTTTAGGGATACAAAATAACCTTTAGGGCAGTTTTCAATTGAGTGTCGTAAAACTCACTCAATGCCAATGAAACAGGAGACAGACAAACCAGGGAACAAATATTCGAAATAAATACAGCAAATACTTGCAGTCGGGGCGAAGCGAGGAAAAATGTGTCCAAGCGAGTCATGATTGGTTTTGATCTTCGTTTGGTTTTGATCTCGTTCGACACTCAAGCGAAAATAGTTCTAAACGTAAAACGCTAAAAACAGTTTTGGCAAACATCGATTTGGCTCAGGGCTGTCAGACATACTATACTGATGGTGACCTGCCTGTAGACATTCCCTGACCCTTGTCCGAGTAAAGGATATGAAATGAGAGACATGCTGCATGCTGACGGATGATGGTGTCTAACCACAAAAAAAATTATGACCTTTTTGTGACGCGACTAACGATGACGTGACAGAAGTATGTGTAAAAAACGCTATTCCTTCCACTTGTACAAAACCCAGCTATGGAAAATTCTTCTTACAGGCTAAGTGTATCAGAATATCTTTCACCAAGGGGTTGTATTCCCTGATGAAGGTAGATTAATACCATGGACCCAGTCCTTTGCAGCCAAGCAGCAGAAAGAGAAGTCACAGGAGTGAGTTCAAGTTCGAGTTGCAAGTAATACTGTTCCTCTTCAATGGCTATGAAAACTACAATCATTATTACTTCCTAACTAACAAATTTAATTCGGTTTTAAACTGATGTGTAAAATTAATAAAGAAGGTTACCTTACCTGCATAGCTAATCATTCTCAAGCTAATGAGAATGTTTATCACTTAATAAAGATAAATTAACCGCCAGAGCGTGTTTGAAAAGCTGATTTTAGGTGTGTCATCCGAGGGTTTAGAACACACAGACTGTACGTTCGTAACATGAGCTGTAGCTATGTCGAAGTTAATATACCAGTTGATAATTACATAAGTATTTCACTTTTCTGCCGACGCAACACTGACAATAGAAACTAATAAACTTGCTCAGTGTTAATCCAGCTAATAATAAAACCCCAGCAACTAAAATTCGAAATCCAAACGCACATTTCAAACTTGAATTTGAATTCATCGAAAAGATAATCCGCAGGAAAACTTTTCTTAATAGACATAGTCTTGGACATTATATTTAACTGTGTGACAACTGCTATTATACATTCACATAGATTACTATGCGATGAACTGCAGACAGCAGCCAGCCAGCATGTTCACTCTTCAACATAGTTTTTGACTATTCTCTGGGCTTGCCTGACATACTGCTGTTGTTTGTAGTAAATCCTGACAACTCCTTTCACTGCTACAAAGCTGATACCACCCTGAAACAAGTCCACATTCTCAACGTTAGCTTGCCCTATAAATGATTGTCTCTAATTTGTGAGGCAAAATACTCGCATCAAAGTTCAACTTTGATTAAAGCATTGTTAACAGAGGGGTGCAGTTATGAAACATTACCTACATTAAGATAGTTACTCGATTACACCACATACATTTCAGTACCCGGCAAACTTTACTCTGGTTCCGTGGGTCTTCTCTTTCCTATTTTCCCAATCAAATGCCTGGGGATGGGGGATACTCCTTATAATGGCCTATATACAGTGTTCTTAAGTAGGTATGTGAAAGAGGTACCTTTTTTCAATAACAGGTATACAAAAGGGATACCTTTTCGGTAAAAATGGTACACAAAGGGTAACGAGTTGGACCTCGGGGTGGAGCCTCTGGGTAGAAAACTTTGCAGTTCTGTGAGCTGTGAAGTGGCTAACTGATTGCCGTGACAGCTTTTTCTCTTCAGTAGCAGAGAGAGGAAATAAAACCTCTGGAACTTCAAAGGAGCCAACAAAGAGTACTGTCAAGGTTTCTGTTGGAAGTTGGAAGGTCCATGACTATGTACAATGTTTTGTTACGAATGAGTTATGTAATCAGAATGTTTCTATTGGTCCCCCAGGCAGAGGTAAACCACTAATTGTGTTTTGTACACAGACAAAGCTAAAAAATCAAACAAAAACATAGATGTACAACAAAGATCTTTGGGTTTTCCTCTGTTAACTATGTTTCTACACATTATTTGCAGACTCCACAGACAAAACATGCAAGTAGTTCAGCTGAGTGTTACTAACATGTTATTCAGGTTTCAGTTCATTATATATCAGATACTTACCAGAAGGGCTCGATGAAGACTTGAATGAACAAAGCCAAAACACAGTTTGCCAATAAGCGTGGAAATTGTTGGCAGTATCAGAGCTCCACAGAGCAACCTTGTCAGGGACACTGGGTCAGATAGTGGTGTGGGTTCAGCTGGTGTTCGTGTGGCAAAACCCCCCGCTAAGCGAGGCAGAAAAAGACTGAGAAATGACATCTTGCTGACATGGCGTCTCCACAGCCTCAACACATGATCTTCCCAACGAACCATTTTTCCAAGTATAAGTGCCAATGGTATAGTTGGAAGTCCAACAAATAAAAACAAGGGGTCTGCTTTCTCCATAACTTCAAGTCCTTCTTTGTGGCCCAAGACCTGCATTACTGTCACTGCTCCATAAGTGACTGCTGACCAATACAATGACCCCACAACAACCCCTGCTGCAGCAATAGGGCAGAATTTGTGGATGAGTTTGTCCAAGAACTCCACAGTTTGAAGCAAAACTCCTAATGGAGGAAAGACAATGATATATTCAGCATTGCACTGTGGGCATGACACCTTAGTTGTTGAACTTCCAGCTTGTTTTTCATCAATCCAGCGCTGCAGACAAATCTGATGAACCCACTTTGTTGTCCCACGGCAACGGCAAGGCCGAACCCATTGTGACCAAGGTTCATCTTCTTCAGTAGCAAAACATACCCAGCAGCGCCTGCAGCATGAAATTACAAACATACCAGTTTAAAATTGAATTTCAACAATAAACAATGTACAGTATATACAGTGCAGTGAAGTGCAAATAAGCTTTCATAATGAGCAACAATATAACCAGTAAAGTTTCCTTCCTGGATGTTGATATAGAAACCAAAATTGAATGAGACCCCCCCCCCCCCCCCCCCCCCCCCCCC